TGTGCCATCATATGATAAGCCTTTAAAATAGGATCTAAAAACAGCTTCCACAGGCAAGCGGCGCTGTTTAAACCGTCCTTCCCGCTGCTCGGTACTTAGTCTACTCCCTGAGAGCTCTGCCTGGCCGTTATCAAACCTGGTGTCACTCTGGATTTTGGACTTTTGCCTTTTGACTTCGTACCTCGCCTCTCGATTCGGACTGTGTGTTGCCGTGTCTACCGGCGACTCCTGCGGCTGCACAGGATCCCTATCCCGTCATCAGGCTGTCCTTACAGGTGGTAATTAACTTCAGCCTGGGTCAACGTGAAGCCCCCGACCGGGAGAGGCGAATCGCCCTCCCCCCGCCACCGTCACGGAGACACGGCCTATTCCACGCAAAACCGCGAGCTGACATAGGACCCCTCCCCCCACGCCCACAGCTTCGCTCCGCGACGTGATCTTTTCGTGCGCGACTAACCTCGAGGACTAATATAGGGTCTGAGCGCCGAGCTCGCCAAACTGAAAAAAACGCCGGAAACTTTATTTTCTTGTCGCAAATAAATACAGAGAATCACAAAATGGAAATCTTCACATTCACACACACACACACCAAAAACAGTAGATTTGAAACCATCTCGTTAAGTTTTAAAAAGGGCAACAGTCACGTAATACTTACCTTTTGAATCCCGTCCACGAGAAAAAAGACAAATGCCTTTTTTTCCCTCTGTGCGTAATAATCAATACGGTAGGTTTATAAATTTCGGTCCCATGCGCGAATCGACGCGCTACCCGAAAAGAGGCACTAATGACACCCCTTGAGCGGTTTCTCGGCCAATTGCTTCAAGACGGCGATGAGTTTGTGGTGTCGGAAGATGTTATTTTCCTGATATAGTCCCGTGACCGATGACATCATAATAATAATAATTGCTTACACTTATAGAGCGCTTTTCTGGACTCTCCACTCAAAGCGCTTTACGGGTAATGGGGATCCCCTCCACCACCACCAGTGTGCAGCCCCACCTGAACATGTTTAACTGAAAGGTTCTGTGTGCACTTTTTTCCATTTTCGATTTCGCCAATCGCTGTCCAGCCGGGTATAAATATGTGTTTTTCCTCAAGGCGCCCTAATGCCAAATTAGATCAACTCTAAATTATCTGGTCCCAGCGGCCTTAAAACGATCGGTTCCTGAAAGCGTTTTAAACCGTCCTATCGCTTTAACTCGCGTGTGATGTAAACT